TCAAAAGTATGGCTACCCAAGAAGTTCCCTCCGGTAATAGTATCAAGAACATATCTATGCCAAGGAGTAATGCCTACATAAAAATTGCGAAGAAGAACCGAGGTAGATTGCTTCCTAGTAGATCTATTTTGAGCATTGCAAATTCTATACCAAGCGTCTTTTAGATTTTCTCCCTCCCTTTACTTAAAATTTAGATTTTCATTCTCGGGAGACAACGGAGAAGATAAGGGACTAGCCATAACGACAAGCGAACAAACTAACACACAAGCAAACAAAAAGCAAGCGGGCAAAAAGAGGCAAATAGAGAAAGAGAGGGAGGATAGAGAGAGAGGGCGAATAAAACGGCAAGGGTGAAGTGGGGGAGAGGAAAACAAGAGGCAAATGGCAAATAATGTAATGCGGGAGATAAGGGTATGTGATGGGTACTTGGTATATTGACTTTTGCGTAGACCACCCCGGCAACGGCGCCAGCAATCCTTCTTGCTACGTCTTGAGCATGTGTTGGTTTTCCCCGAAGAGGAAGGGATGATGCAGCAAAGTAGCGTAAGTATTTCCCTCAGTTTTTGAGAACCAAGGTATCAATCCAGTAGGAGGCTATGCGCTAGTCCCTCGTACCTGCACAAAACAAATAAATCCTCCCAACCAACGCAAATAGGGGTTGTCAATCCCTACTCGGCCACTTACGAGAGTGAGATCTGATAGATATGATAAGATAATATTTTTGGTATTTTTATGATAAAGATGCAAAGTAAAATAAAAGCAAAGTAAAAGCAAAATAAATAACTAAGTATTGGTAAATTAATATGATGAAGATAGACCCGGGGGCCATAGGTTTCACTTGTGGCTTCTCTCGAGAGAGCATAAGTATTCTACGGTGGGTGAACAAATTACTGTTGAGCAATTGACAGAATTGAGCATAGTTATGAGAATATCTAGGTATGATCATGTATATAGGCATCACAGCCGAGACAAGTAGACCGACTCCTGACTGCATCTACTACTATTACTCCACTCATCGACCGGTATCCAACATGCATCTAGAGTATTAAGTTAAAACAGAGTAACGCCTTAAGCAGGATGACATGATGTAGAGAGATAAACTCATGCAATATGATGAAAACCCCATCTTGCTATCCTCGATGGCAACAATACAATACGTGTCTTGCTGCCCCTACTGTCACTGGGAAAGGACACAGCAAGATTGAACCCAAAGCTAAGCACTTCTCCCATTGCAAGAAAGATCAATCTAGTAGGCCAAACCGAACTGATAATTCGAAGAGACTTGCAAAGATAACCAATCATACATAAAAGAATTCAGAGAAGATTCAAATATTGTTCATAGATAGACTTGATCATAAACCCACAATTCATCGGTCTCAATAAACACACCGCCAAAAGAAGATTACATCGAATAGATCTCCAGAAGAGAGTGGGAGAACTTTGTATTGAGATCCAAAAGGAGAGAAGAAGTCATCAAGCTACTAACTATGGACCCGTAGGTCTGAAGTAAACTACTCACACTTCATCGGAGGGGCTATGGTGTTGATGTAGAAGCCCTCCGTGATCGATGCCCCTTCCGGCGGAGCTCCGGAACAGGCCCCAAGATAGGATCTCGTGGATACAGAAATTTGTGGCGGTGGAATTAGGGTTTTGGCTCCGTATCTGATCGTTTGGGGGTACGTATGTATATATAGGAGGAAGGAGTACGTCGGTGGAGCAACAGGGGGCCCACGAGGGTGGAGGGCACGCCTGGTGGGGGTGGGCGCGCCCCCTACCTCGTGGCTTCCTCTTTTGTGTCTTGACATAGGGTCCAAGTCTCTTGGGTCTTGTTCGTTGAGAAAATCACGTTCCCGAAGGTTTCATTCCGTTTGGACTCTGTTTGATATTCCTTTTCTTCGAAACCCTAAAACAGGCAAAAAACAACAATTCTGGGCTGGGCCTCCAGTTAATAGGTTAGTCCCAAAAATAATATAAAGTGGATAATAAAGCCCAATAATGTCCAAACAGTAGATAATATAGCATGGAGCAATCAAAAATTATAGATACGTTGGAGACGTATCAATACCCCTCTGATTATGAACATGTTTATGCTTTGTGAGTAGTTACGTTTGTTCCTGAGGACATGGGAGAAGTCTTGCTATTAGTAGTCATGTGAATTTGGTATTCGTTCGATATTTTAATGAGATGTATGTTGTCTCTCCTCTAGTGGTGTTATGTGAACGTCGACTACATGACACTTCACCATTATTTGGGCCTAGAGGAAGGCATTGGGAAGTAATAAGTAGATGATGGGTTGCTAGAGTGACAGAAGCTTAAACCCTAGTTTATGCGTTGCTTCGTAAGGGGCTGATTTGGATCCATATGTTTCATGCTATGGTTAGGTTTACCTTAATACTTTTATTGTAGTTGCGGATGCTTGCAATAGAGGTTAATTACAAGTGGGATGCTTGTTCAAGTAAGACAGTACCCAAGCACCGGTCCACCCACATACCAAATTATCAAAGTACCGAACGCGAATCATATGAGAGTGATGAAAACTAGCTTGATGATATTCCCATGTGTCCTCGGGAGCGCTTTTCTCTATATAAGAGTGTGTCCAGGATTTTCCTTTGCTACAAAAAGGATTGGGCCACCTTGCTGCACTTTATTTACTTTTGTTACTTGTTGCTCGTTACAAATTATCCTATCACAAAACTATCTATTACCACTTGTTTCAGTACTTGCAGAGAATACCTTGCTGGAAACCGCTTATCATTTCCTTCTGCTCCTCGTTGGGTTCGACACTCTTACTTATCGAAAGGACTACGATAGATCCCCTATACTTGTGGGTCATCAGAGGCCTAACAACAACTTTCCTTATAATTACTTCATAGAAAATATAAAATCATAGAAAATCATCACTCAACATAGCATAGCCTCAGGCATGACCTGCTGCTAGCTCCGCCACTGTGTGACCAAGCATATGCACATCTCCATCTCACTTCATGGACGTCACAGTCTCCTATTAATTGTGTCTGCATTGGCACAATTACCGAACAAACACCAAAGAGATTGGTGGAGGAACTAAAGAAAGAAAAGGTTTTATGAGATCTTCATGCGCGCATGCAGCTCATATCCCATCCACCTTCAGTTTCCGTATCAAGATTTTACTTCATATGTTATACTATTCAGTAACATTGCTTGATAAACAAATAAAACCGCAAAAACATTTACTTATATCCAAAAGATTTACTAAGACATGTCAACGAGCCATCATGCAAAACCATCATCATATCATGTCTTGGGCGATAGGAACCACTAGCCATGTAGATGCCATCACCATTTTCTCATCAATGCCACATCTTTTCGAAGACCAATTTAGAGACTAGATCAAAACTAGGGGTGCAAGTTGTAGAGTTCAAATGGAAAGACTAAGATACTAGCTACAAATAAAATTTGAAGGCAATTAAACCACAAAGCACAAAGTTGATGTTGCGAGAAAATTGAGATTCATTACAACGTAATTCATTCGCCCACTGGCACATGCCAACAACACTAGGAACTGTCAAGCTTACTAGCAAAAGAACAATAGTGCGAGAATGCGAGAAAACAAGAACCATTGCACCACACCAGGTGCTAATTAGTGACATGATTCATCAAAAGACCTTTGTTGCCTCTGAGTTGATTATATTTCTTGTTGACGAGAGTGGCCCCTTCCTTTAAGACTTTTTGATCAAACATTGTCAATGCGCCACATCACAAGGTCTCAGCCATTCTGTAAATATAATTGTGTCAGTGTGATTCCAAAAAGGGATGCTACGATAAAATTTCCAAGTAAGTAGATGTAAGCATAATTAGGTGTAACATTCGAGGATCCATATTACTTGAAGTTTGATCGAGCATAAATGACATATATTACTGGAAGTTTGTTCACGCACATATGAAATATATAACTTTCTATGTGATCATCACTAATCTAATTATACATTAACTAATGTACATGTATTTATATAAAAATTGTTCCAAATCCAGAAAGAAATGACATATAGATGTACCTGGTGGATTGTAGAAACTCATGTATGGAACCAAATAACGGAATTTCTCTCTCTTCCATAGCTTCTTCCATTGTAGTGTCCTGATATTAACCTCATAGATGCCAAGGTCCGCAGTTATGAAAATGATATCACTGCCCTCCACAGATCCAATCAGTTTAAGCCTTTTGGTTGGATTTTGAATAGGGATAAGGTTCATGAGTTCGACGACTCTATGCATAGTCCATGACACAATTCCATTAACATCCAATTTTCTTGACCATATGTTGAGGGTTACCTTGTCCACATGCGCAAAACCCAAACTGCCATCCTCCAATGCCATGAGGATAGTGGAACCGCTAACGATAGCCCCGGACAATGGTGCATCAATCAGTGATAAGCAATTAGAGCTCAAGTCATATTTGAGAATTTCTATACGATCATCATCATCGTGTGTAAGCATGAAGTGAAGTGCGTTTTCAACAAGGATGGAGGGCATTGAGTCGATGAATGCATCAGGTGCAAATTGTAGACTAGAGCATATATCGCTCCACTCAACATCAGAGCATGACTTGCTCCAGTCACTTGTCACCGGCGCGGACACACATGCGTGTGCAACACAATTGTCATCGTCTGTCATGTCAAGGCCCAAGAATACCACTTGGAAGGGCCCTGCATTACGGAACGGGTCTAATTAGACACGTGGCCGTGTACGTGTACGGTGACGACTGTAGACGCGTGGCATGGCCGTGTACGTGTACGGTGACGACTGTAGACGCGTGGCATGGCCGTGTACGTGTACGGTGACGACTTGGCCGACACGGTGGCGCCCCACCCATGAGGACGCTGACACTAGTTTATCTCTCTCCCCTTCCCCTTTCCCTGTCTGCGCTCCACTCCACAGTCCAACTACCCATCCTCTCCTCCCGAGTCCCGAGTCTGCAGCCAAAGCAGAGCACCACCCAGCCGCCGCCGGAAGAGCACGAGGAGATGGGCTCCGGGACGGGGAAGGTGGTGTGCGTCACCGGCGGCTCGGGCTACATCGCCTCCTGGCTCGTCAAGTTCCTCCTCCAGCGCGGCTACACCGTCCGCGCCACCGTCAGGGACACCGGTCAGTACTCAGGACCCCACCCAACCCCCTTCCTTCCCTTTCGCTCTCCCGGACTGCTCTAGGTGGTGGATCCATGGTTATCGGCTGGTTATTGGTCTCCGCCGCGGCGAGGGATTCATGGATTCAGTGGGCGAGGGACTAGGTTTTGTTCAGGCTGTGAAATTGGAACTGATAGTACAAGGAAGAAGAAGAAGAAGAAGCTGACTGAATTTGTTAGCATGAGTGAGTGGCATGAACTCAACGCCATCTCCGTACTAGTATTATTGTAAATCTTAAGTCTACAATAGTCAAGGGGCAGCCATTCTGACCTGTGAATTTAAAAATACACAACTGATTTTCCATAACACTGTTGCTGGCGTGTTTTGCTGCGACAGTCAATTATTTTCGTTATAAATCTTTTAGATTGTTGGAGTTCAAAATTAACATAAATTCCCTTGTATTCTACCGAGTTAGTTACCAATAGCATACTGTGATTGCTAGTGTTGGGGACTCCCTTGACATAATTCTGGCTCTGGCTCTGTCTCTGTCTCTGTTCACTCACTCCCTACTACTACAGCTATATATCCAAGTCTAAATACAGAGTCAAGTGGCAGCCATTCTCACTTCTGAATTAAAGACTACACAAGTGAGTTCTCATAATAGTGTGGCTGTGACAGTCTATTTTTTCATTATAAATCTATTAGATTAGATTGTTGGAGTTCAAAATCAGCATAAATTGGCACTAGGTATGTTTTCTTTTTAATAAAACATCGCATGCCCAGTGCTAACTGAACTGACCGTTCCTTCTTTCAGCCGACCCCAAGAAAACATTGCACCTGCAGGCCCTGGATGGAGCCAAGGACAGGCTGCACTTGTTCAAAGCAAGCTTGTTGGAAGAAGGCTCTTTCGATGCTGCCGTTGCCGGCTGCGATTGTGTCTTCCACACGGCTTCTCCCTTTTATCACAATGTCAAGGATCCCAAGGTTAGTATCTACTATATCATGACCATCTTGTGCAAAGTTACAGACAGCATTTGCTTGTTCCTTATGCATGTGCACGGGCTAATGTTTTCAACAGCTAAAACTGTTTATGATGTTCAGTTAGTAAATACAACAGCTTCACCGGACGTTTGTTCTGTGTACTTATGTGTGTCTTTACTGTCTTGCAGGCTGAGTTACTTGACCCAGCTGTCGATGGAACGCTCAATGTTCTCCGTTCCTGCAAGAAAGCCTCTATCAAGAGAGTGATCGTAACCTCATCCATGGCTGCTGTTGCCTACAATGGGAAGCCAAGGACTCCTGATGTAGTGGTTGACGAGACATGGTTTTCAAGTGCAGAAGTCTGCGAAAAGAATAAGGTAATATGCCTTTCTGTGCTCATAGACCTCTGCTTGTTTTTCACATATGGAGTGGCAATCACGTTAATAAAATATACTATCTGGCTTTGATTGCTCTATATGTCTTTCACTCCGTCTGCACTGAAATGCCCTTATTTTGTCTACTTGATGACTTTCATACCAATTCTGCAAATGCATTGTGCGTATGCACCTCTACTGAAATAGAATCTTCTTAGGATAAGAGGGTGATACCATTTTTATTGAAGACCTTAGTTTTGTGTTTTCACACAAGGATGTAGGTTGAGTACAATGAGACACAATCAATAATCCACAACAAGAAGTTTAAGAATAGGAAAGTAACTGTCAATTGATCTTATTCCATCTTTATTTGTGTCATACTATACTATGCTTGGTTAGTGTTCAGGGATTTTTTTTATACCTGGTTAACTCAGCACTAATGCCAGTATGTTATAGATGGTCAGTCTCTGTCTACTGTTACTAAGCAATTGCATAACAACTCTGCATCTACACACTGGTTAGTCAAGATTATGCTGAATACTGCCTCATAGATGTTGAAGCGACATACAATGCCATATAACTGACATCTGCACTTGTAATCATAAGTACATCACTATTATTACTGTATAACTGGCGCATGCACTTGCCATTATAAGTACATCGTTCTTCAGTGGGGATATGCATTTGGTTCCTCATACTGACTATAAGCTGCCATAATTTCTGCTTTAACAGGGTTCTTTTGATATTTGTTTGCTAACTTGAAAATTACATTGCTTCATTTAATTTTGTATACAAATCTCAAAACTTTACTTCCACATCCTTTTGTATTTCAATTTTAAATCCATGGTTGACTGTACGTCATTTATGTTCTCATCTTGTTATCCTGAATGTTCGTCTGCTTCAGCAATGGTATGTGCTATCCAAGACCCTTGCCGAGGAGGCTGCATGGAAGTACGCAAATGATAATGGATTAGAAATAATTACAATAAACCCAACAATGGTCATCGGTCCCCTGTTGCAGCCTACACTGAATACTAGCACAGAAGCAATATTGAAGTTTATAAATGGTATGTCCGTATGTGCCTTGATAATTAACTTTCTATAGGTTAACTCTATGCATGTAAAGTAGAGCTCTGTTTTGCCCTATACCCATTTTGCATTTCTCATTTGTTCGAGAGAATACCCAAGCTCGAGATATTCCAATTTCTATTAGCCATTAGCACAATTTCTGCAAACAAACTCAAGATATTTCAAGCGATGTTGAATTATGTTTCTTTCATTTCCTTGTGTGTGTGTGTGTGTGTGTGTTTGGCACTGGCAAAAGCAATGTGAGATATTGCCATATTGGAATGATTTTACTCTTCATTGTTTGTCTAGCTAATAGGTACATGTACAGTGAATGTTATGAATCTTTTGAGAAATATCAAGAGGACTCTGTTCAATTGGACATTTGATTAGTTTACAATGGGGGGTCTGCCTATGGTACCTTTGTGTTTCTCTCTGGCTTTGCATTCATTTATTTGGATACTTGGAGCTTCAGAGTCATGAATATATTCTCATCTGGCATAGAGGATGTTTAATGACCAATGGAAAACATGAACTGAATTGTTACTTGTCTAAAAAAAAGGGTTAAAATTACAGTGGTTGTGCCAAAAGAAGTCTACTCTAACAAGACATTTCTGGACAGTTGACAAGAAATCCTTGCTGTTTTCATGCAGGATTATCTTCTACATACGCCAATTTCTGCTTTGGATGGATAAACGTTAAAGATGTTGCCCTGGCACATATCCTTGCATATGAAGTTCCTTCAGCAAACGGAAGATATTGTATGGTTGAAAGAGTCATTCACCACTCGGACCTTGTCAAGATCATTCACGAGATGTATCCTGAATTTCCAGTGCCAGACAAGTAAGTTAACATTCAAGTGAATCCCTTGGAATTGAATCGAGAACAGTATACTGTTGGAAATTATTAGTTGCTTGTTTCTTGGTTTGTTTCTTGTTGAGGCTTCAGGGACATAATAGATGTTTTCCCAATCATGCATTTCTCAACATTGTAGAGAGCACCTAATCTGTTCCTTTGCACCATATGGCGACGGGACCCCTGAAGTTAGTTTTTTCCTTTCTTGTGTGCAGGTGTGCAGATGATGCGCCGTTTGCCCCAATCTACCAGGTATCAAAGGACAAGATAAGAAGTCTGGGCATGGAGCTGACACCCCTGGAGACGAGCCTCAAGGAGACTATCGAGAGCTTGAAAGAGAAAGGATTTGTCACTTCTGAGTCGAGCCATCTGTGAAACTTTCTTTGCTTTGGCACCACTAGTGGCAGACGCTGGATGCACACATGTTTATGTGCACCTGAAATAAATCGAGGCATAGTGTATTCTTGAGACATGTATTTGTGGATCTGCTGTGTTTCAATGGATTCAAGTTCCTAGACATGTATAACCAGTACACAAGAATGTATGATGAATGCTTCTAGAAAGATTATCCATCCTGTATTATTTCCTGACGCCTTTTGGAACGCATGAATACGAAAACAGATAGAAAGAAATAACAAGGGATGGTATATTCAAACATACCTTATACGCATGATGTGGTTGGAAGGAACTTTCACAGAACAATACCGTGGCGAAAAATAGAAGATTGAAATGCGCTATGATCTACAAGGGTGCTGTGAAAGATAGAACAGTACTGGCCCTAGTGGAGGTTCAGTTCAGGAACTTCTGAGTTGAGTTGAATCGATAAAATATAACCAGCGACAACAACGATCATTTGCCGTTTACAGATCTTCAGGCTTGAGAGATGGTTACATGCAGGTAGAGGGAGGCACATCTGAATACTGCAATTGTGGGTCTGAGAAGAGGTTGAGCAGGTTACAGGTGAAACTCTGTTCTAACCAATGTACACTACTACTTTCTTCAGGAAGCATCAGGGAAACAGAGGTTGGTTGTCACATTATCCCCCCAAATGTAACAACATGTTTCATCTCTTTACATGGATAAAGATGCACAACGAATAACGAACACACACCTAACAGGTTTCTGGAGCTACTGAAGCAATTAAAATCTGTTTGAGATCTTCATAGCCATGCAGCCCCATATCCTATAGTTCACTGAACTTATAGCTCGAGATCCAGTTCACGTGCTATACTCTTCAGCAACATTGCTTGCTAAAAAACAGAACTTAAATCCATCAGATTATTCATTAAGAAAAAACCAGCAAGCCAAGGTGCAAAAAGGTTTATCATACCATCTCTCGGGAAACAGAAACCACTCCCTAACTGTGCATCTTTTGAGAGATGAATTTAAAGATTGGATCAAAGCTGGGACAGGGCAAACTGTAGAGTTTTTAAAATGGTAATACCGGGTTACTGTCTGCAAATGCTTTTTCAAGTAAATTCTACAACAGGGTACATCAAATTAGAGGTTCATTACAAAGATAATCAATTCACTCGGCCACTAACACGGGAGATTATCAAGCTAACTGACAAAAGCTACCAACAACATGGGAAAACAAGCAAGCACCGCTGCACCAAAAGGGCTACTGAATGATGACATAATTCATCAGGACTTCGCGAGACCCCTGTTGCCTCCAAGTTTGTCACCTATCTTGTTGATGAGTGTAGCCTCGTACATATTCAACCACACATTCTTAATGCGCCGCGTCACCGGGGGTCACCCTTTCCGCAAACATAGGTTTGTCAGTATGATTCTAGAAGGGGGATTACATGATACTGTATAAATTGCAAATTAAGCATAATTAGTTGTAATCACACGGCACTCAAAGTTTGTTTGCACCCATTTCAAACATAACTTTCAATCCGACTAGGCATTCAATGTTTTGTTTATTCCACTAACTTGTATGGAGTATTATTTAAGAGTTGTTCCCACATCGCAAAAGAAGGACATATAGATACAAACATACCTTGTGAATTGTAGAAACTCGTGTATGGGATGAAAACTTGAAACTTTTCTCTCTCCCACTGTAGTGACTTCAGATTAATCTTGTAGATTCCAAGATCCGTGGTCACGAAAATGATATCGGTGCCTTTCACAGATCCAATCAGCCTAAGTCTTTTCTTTGGATTTCGAATGTGAAGGATGTTGTTGATATTGATGACTGTACGCTGAGTCCATGATGCAACTCCGTCAGAACCCATGTGCCTTGACCACAGATTGAGGATTAACCCAACCACATGTGCAAACCCCAAACTGTCATCCTCCATCGCCATGAGGATAACATCATCAGCAAGCGGCATATCAATCAATGATAAGCAATTAGTGCTCAGGTCGTACTTGAGAATTCCTACTAGGCGATCATCGACGCAGTCACAAAGCTTGAAGTGAAGTGTGTCTTTGGACGAAGACAGGAGGCGCTTCGTGGATGTACACATCGGAGTCAAGTTGAAGGCCGGAGCATGGATTGCTCCAGTTATCAAAATGAGAACGGTATATGCTCAACAAAATGGGCGGCCCATCATGTTTATAGCCTGCATCGCCAAGGAGAACACGACCAGGGCGGCAGTCCCACGCATCATATTCCCAGTCCCCCAGTCATCGTCGGGAATGCACGGACGAAATTCCGGTAGCGGCCGCGAAAGCGAGCGCCGGAGAGGAGGCCAAGCCAGAACTTGCTGGCAAGGGAGGCGCGCACAAGGTGCTCAGCCTCGTCCGGCGGCAGGCGGAGGAAGATCTCCTCCAGAAGCTCGGCCGGCAGCGCCGATGCGGGTGGCGGCATGGAGGGTCGAGGCGGCGAGGGTTTCTGGTGGGGAATTTTTGAGCTGCGGCGGCGGCGGAAGGGAGGAGATAGATCTGGAGATAATTTCTTATTTGACTTCTTTCTTAACATCAGTTTCCTTTTTTGCCCTAAAAAATTTCTTCCTCTTTTGACACTCAAACTTTATTTTATTCTCTTTATAACCTTTCCGTCAGTTTTAACTACGAACACCCCTTTTTTTAGGGAAAAACAACAAACACCCTTATGTGCAACATGAAAAGTCCTTTCTACCCCGCATTAGCCCGCTGAAAAAGCAGAAGTGCGTGTGATCGATGTGGCCCCATACCTTCTCTCCTGATTCCCCACCCAAACCATAACTCTATGACGACATGGAGGGCATGGAGGGTCGAGGCGGTGAGGGTTTGGGGAATTTTTGAGCTGTCGCGACGGCGGAGGGGGAGATAGATCCGGAGAGAATTCTTTGGGGGTGTTTGGTTCCAGGGACTTTTTTGTGTTGGGACTAGAAAAAGTCCCTAGCAAAGCAAACAGGGTGGGACTGTTTTGGAATTTTTTGCTAAAAGTCCTTAGAAGCACCTTCTTGAGAATCTTTTTTAAAAAGTCTCAGGGACTAGAAAAAGTCCTGGGACTAGAGAACCAAACACCACCTTTATCTGTCTCTTTCTTAATATTTCTTCCCCTTTTGACACTGAAACTTTATTTTATTCTCTTTATAATATTATGTTAGTTTTAACCACGAACACCTTTATGTGCAACATGAAAAGTCATTTCTACCCCGCGTTAGGCCATTGAAAAGGCAGAAGCGCATGTGATGTGGCCCATGCGTTCTCTTCTGATTCCTCACCCAAACCCTAAGGGCTCCTTTGATTCAAAGGAATTATTTAGGATTTTTGGAGGATTGAAATCCTTAGGAATTTTTCCTATGTCGGCCCTTTGATTCATAGGATTGGATTCCATAGAAATTTATCCTATGAAATCTTTTGTACTATATTTCATAGAAAATCTAACATCCACTCCAACCTCTTTTTACAATTTCTTTGTTTTTCATGTGGCATCAAACACTCTTTGCTAATCCTATAGGATTCAAGTTGACATGCCACTGCAATCCTATACTTTTCCTATTCTTACATTTTCAAAATCCTGTGAATCAAAGAGGCCCTAACTCTATGACGGCGGCGGCGGCACGAGACACATAGGGACGGTGGCGGCGGCGGTATGGCAGAGGGCATGGTCGAGGCTGTTGCGGATGGCGCGGAAGACGACGACGAAGCAACTACTGCAGAGACCTGAGAGCGCTCTATGCGCCGTCGAGGAAGGCCACGACCATACAACGGACTCGCTTTGGGCGACAACGGTGGAGCGGCGGACGGGCGAACGGCGGCCAAGGAGTAATTGAGGAGGGGCAAGGCGACGCTGTGCAGCGGCGAAGCGCGGCCAAACAAAACTGTTGTACATGACTGAAACACATAGTAGCGGTCGGAGCTTGTGAGCACAACACAATGGAATTTTAAGTGTTGAATTCACCATCGATGCTAAGGGCATGTACAATGGTTGATAAGATAGTCTTATCTTAAGTTTTGCATGTAATTTAGAGATGACAGAGAAAAATGTCTATAATGGGTCATCTCTTAGCCTTATCTTTAATAACTAGCAATTCCTAAAAATATGATGAGACATATTGTGCTAAGAGATCATCTCTTGTCTTATCTTAAATAAGAAAAGACAAGCCTTCTCTTATGAGTTCTCTCTCCTCCACCTCATCATTTATTTTACGTGGCACTCCTAAGATAGCACTATTATACATGCTCAAATATTAATCAAAAGCAAAATTTAAGTGCAGCTCGTGTCCACCGAAAGTAATTAAGGAAACCACAATGACCCGGGCGATCCCTCTTGTCCGTTATATTTGTTTTCCTTCTTGTGTGTTATCAACATCTTTTTTTTTGGGCAGAAATGTGGTTGATGTAATAGTTACAAGAGGTCCAGTACTACTTTTTGTGTATGTACATGTGCACTCGCCCCTTCTACATATGCATAATTTCAAAGCATCTTTTACTGTACATTTTGTTTCTTTGCTCGGTACAAAATGTATTGCAAGTGTTGTTCGTTGTTTTTTGCTTTGTCCAAATATACTGAATTCCCTCTACAGACTCAGTTTTTTTTCCTTTGTTTGAATATAACATAGACAGTTATGTACTTCCTCCGTCCGCGAATAAGTGTACATCTAGCTTTTGTCTTAAGTCAAAATTTTAAAATTTTGATCAATTTTATAGAAAAGAGTAGTATCATATACGATATCAAATTGGTACATTATAAAACTACATTTTGAAACGAATATGGTGATGCTAATTTAGTGTCATAAATGCTGTTACTTTTTTTTATAAAGTTGGTCAAAGTTTTAAAACTTTGACTTAAGGCAAAATCTAGATGTACATTTATTCTCGAACGGAGGGAGTATGCAATAGTGATAGTCTGATGCCCTTTTAAGTGAGCAGGTAGATGAAGCAAAAAAAAGCAGAACCCTATCTGGTGAGTAAATTGCAAAAAACCACCACATTTG